TGAACACATAAATATTGGTACAAGAGGCACCAGATACGTTTGCACCACACAATAGCAATGAGAATGGGAAGTGACAAATAATGTAATGTGCGTGTAAAAAGAATAAAAAACAATAACGACAACAAAATGGTGTACCGTAGTGAAAGAATTCTTTCAGCTAAAGGAGTTACGGCCACTGTTTATGAAGAAAGTAAACAAAGTTTACAGCAGGATCGTCACTGGGTTCTATTCTGAGCCATATCTGATAACGTCTCTAGCACACGAAGCAAGGAGTCGTGAAGGACCAACAAAAGCCAACCCTTTGCAGCTTTCTTTCATACCGCGACACCATGTTATCGTCGCTGTGCACGAGCACATGATGCTCAGCCTCTGCATTACAAACATGGTGTTGCCACTGGATGTCAACAATCCTTCAGAGACAACGATGGTCTCGGAGAGGTCAGGTTTCACAAGCATAGAGCGAAACAGCTCTCACTGACGCGTCGTAGATCCAAACGTTTACAGCCAGACTAACATCACGAAGGCGTCAAAGGTAGCCCAGACCGGCCAACGTCGCTCTGGATTTCACTAAACGTGAATTGACCAGATCAATACATCCTAGACCAGAACGAAAACTAGCCTGCTCCTTGCGAGTCAATCATTCTCGGGTTTTGAACAACCTATGAAGTAGTACGGAAGTCAATCGTTTGGACGCAATTGGAAGTAGACTTATCCTCCGATAGTTGTTGCAGAAATGACGTGAACCCTATTTAAAGATAGGCACAACTGTCGACTCTTTCCGAAATGTTGGAACACCCACTAGCTCCAAACCCTTGTAAACAACGATGCCAGTTCCTTAATCAACAAGTCATCATCATCTCCAAAATAAGCCGGTGAAACGTCATCTGAGCCAGGAGATTTTAAGCAATTCCAGAATTGTAGTTTCTTTCTGACTTCCGCCTCATTTGATAGGCCAGTCGACACGAGCCCTGGAGTGCAGGACAGTATGATCGATGTTGCCAGAGCACCAGGCCAGTTGAATTGCCCTTCAAAGAACTCTTCCCATCGTGAAATGTCTGAATTGTAATTGAAGCGAGCATAATATTTCGTCAAGTAATCGTTATCTCATTAGATTTGTGTGAGGGCTCTGATACTGCCAGGGTGCCCAAACCGAAGCAGGTGGTTCTCTTAGGGGACCACACTCGGAGCATTTGACCAAAGGGTCCAATCCACAAGGCTGTGGAGATGCAGTCACATGGTAGCCGGTGACCAACGATTGGTTCGTACGCTATTTGTTACCTCAGGATACTGGTGCCCTTGTGCACCGTTGCTTTGGAATCAGGGTTTTCCAACTGTCCCAGGTGGGTCCTGCATATCCACCAACCCAGCTAAAGCACCAGAGTTTTGCTTTACGTTATCTTAATTTCCTAAACAACATCCTCGCTACGAGAAGGTAGTGAGTAGGACTTCTCTAGCAGAGGCTATATACGTGTGGCCATGTGAGAGTATTTCGAGAATGAGAACGGACTCTCTCCACTCTCGGACGTACCAGGGCACAAACATCACACCAACGGTGACTCACTGAATATTAACAGAAGTTATAAATAATGCATATGGTAATAGAATCGTTTAATATTTATGTGATTGAGGACTTTCATCACTAGCAGGTATCACTTGAAGTACAATTCAACACCATAAAATACTGAAACGTGATACCGATAATCGGTTATAAATGTTTTCGATATTCATTGCATATCATTTAATGTCGGGCAGATTATGTATTGATGAATAACTTTGAATTGTAGATAGAGTTGACATTCACTTAAAAACTGAGGAAGTTTACATTCAAAATAGCCTTAGTTTCATACAGAAAATATCTATTCACCATAAACGTTTAGCACAAATATGTGTCTTACTTAGGTTACTAGTTTCAAATAAGTTTTCAATGCTGGAGTTTCGAAGTAATAGATTCTAAATTAGTATCAACATTTCTAAGAAACAAACACAATGTCACAAGGTATTCTGTCTCTATATTTACTGAAATCTTTAAATCGAATATCACATCTGACACTGGAAGCCGTATCCCTAATTGAGAAGAACAATAAATTTTGATTTAGGTTGAGTGAGGCGATTGTTTCAGGTAGATGCACATGCACAAAAATGACAGAATTTCATATAACTGAAAAAATGTACTAATAAATGTATCTCAGCAGCATTCGTGAAGTGAAGTAATGACATGTCCACTATTATGCCAAATAGTATGTTAATCAGAATAGACTGTTTTGAATAGTCTGAAATTCACCGATACCAACCCATACAGAGGTTTATAGGAATCCACATAGTTTGGTTGTTTCCATGTATATGATCTCCAGACATGACTAGTTCAAGCACATAAGATATACAACACCGTACGACACTCATGAGAGCTTCAGGTTTCAACTGTGAAAGGTGACAGCAATCAAACGACAAATAAAAACTGAAAAATTAAGAATCCCACATGTGCTCAACCGGCTGCCGTCCGTCTATTTGAAGTCGGATCTGTTGTAAAGTGTTTCGAATAGCTATAGTAAAATTGTCGGAATGACCATGAATTCAGTTTTACAGTTTCCTGAAATTCTACACACCTTTCGAACCACTTAGTCAAACAACAGTCTTCTCCATTTTCCGTCACACCATCATTTCAGCATTGAATCGGACTTCATACTAAGTCATCCGAACTGCAATAGGAGTACCCGAATGCTTCAAGAGATGTATAAGCTGGTATTTTGGACGTAGTCCAATCTTGAACACTAGTTGTTGTTCACAAAAGCCTCGATCACATGTTAAACCTGCATCATTCAGAAGAATAAGCATGATAAACTCACTGATTATGTCAAACGTGATCAACGAATGATTCATTTACACTCTCATAATGTTACTCTGAACAATTCAATGGAGCAAATGAAAACAGCAAACATTAATCATCAGACATTTATATCTGTGTAACCACAGAACAAGTGTTTCTTGTCAAAGTGGTAACGAAGTTCGATGTAACATATTTGTCAAATAGAACATTCACATTTATTCAGTTTGTGTTGATATTGATATTATCACAGTAACAAAACTTGATGAAAAATAAAAAAAAATAGACGAATAATCACAAAATCGGCTTAATAGTCCTCGTGCTATAAAACGGTCGTAAACCGAAAAAGGAAATGTAAAGAGTTTAGGAGAACAATGACCAGCATTCACAAATGCTTCGAAAAGAAACAATAAAAGTCAAGCAATCATGTCAAACATTGCATATGACCATTGTCATGTAACTTAACACTGTTTGAAGGTCAACAGTTCACTAGACAAGATTCCTTTCGTTGACCTTATTCTTATAAGTTTAGATCACGGTCAGTAAGCGTGAAATTGTTCCGAATCGTCAAACGCATTTAAAGAAATCACGTTTTTCCTGTGATCTCAGAACACACTTTCTTTCGACAAACTGAAAAGCGAAACAAATTCAAGTTAACTCTCAACAACAGGTTCAAAGCATAAAAGGATCTACTGAAAGTAGACAAACTATGATGGAGGACAATTAGATAGGGATCAAATAAGTATCAACTTCAGCGTGTCAGGATATCTATCGATACGCTAGACAAGATTCAAGGAAATAATAGTAAGACTGCAGTTAACAACAGCCGAACAAGAACCGATAAGGTCAAGACACAAGCTGATGCACACGAATTAACAAGCAGATAAGAGCAGTATTAGATCTGACAAGCAGAAATATGTGGAGGACCTAGCAACAACGGCGGGAAAAGCTGCAAGTGAAAGACATATTGAACAGCAATGTTACGCGACGAATAAACGATAAAAGAGTCGAGGAGTCCAGGCAAGGATACAGAAGGCAGGACAATCACTTTGGTTCGCGTATAAAGTAACAGATGTGTGGAACACTTTGAAGAACTCTTGAATGAGGCACTCCATTGCACCAGCTACAGAACTTCCTATAGATGTCACTCCACCAACGATTGAAGAATTCAGGATGATCATTAGACAGATCAAGAGTGTGAAATTAATAGAACCTGACAGTATACCAGCTGAAGCATCGGAGTCGGACACAGATGGAACTGCTTCGATACTACAGAGAGTACGTTAGTAAGAAAAAACATTAAATCAAAGTCTACGAACGTCAGATTCACAGATTGTTGGGTAGAGCAAATCGCAGTTGAATATGCCATAATTGAAATTTCTTGGAAATTCATAGCTAAAACTCCAAAGAACTTCTCTAACTTAGAGGATGTAAATTACATTATTTGATATATATATACAAGTTTCAAAATCTTGATAAATAAACACTTGAAAATACAAACAATCTTATCATTTTTATGGAGTATAAGTACTAGTTAAACACCAGATCAGCGCTCAAGAATTTTATCAGATCATAGAAATTAAACAAATGTACCTTTACAGATAAGCATGCATTCTGGTTAATAGCTATCATAATTAATAGTAGTATTAATAACAATAATAATAATAATGTTAACAATACTAATAACGATAATAGGAACAATAATAGCAATTATTCATTAAGTAACTGAGCTTGTATATCCATTTTTATATCATCCTTGTACTATAAAACATATTCTCGTCCATCTGTAATAAAGAAAAATGTGTATTGCCAATAATAGTAGAATGAATATATGTACGATCGAATCATTGTACACATATATATACGTTTCAGTGAAGAATGGATATTAGAACATTCAAAATAATAATAATATTATTAATAATAAGACCACATGAAAACCGAAATATGAATACGCAACATTGAATAAGAGAGGAACAAGAAAAATGAGTATTTTGTTACAGAGACACAAGTACAGATGAATTGATTGATAGATCGATTGATAGATCTGTGAATTGACAAACCAGTAATCAATTAATTCAACAGAATAAAACTGTCTAATAGTGAAATCGTTGATTAGTCTGAAAGAAATGCATTCAAAGTAATGTGATTGTATTGGGAACATTTTTATTCAACCAATTACTGATAACATCACGATGAGTTTTTGTCCATTTCATGTTTTCCTTTGACCTTTTAAACAAATCATTTAATCCACGTTTCAGAACATGATTTTCAAGTAGTTTTTGTCCAGAATTTTGCATAGCAAGTACCTAGTGAATTAAAAGTCAACCATTTGTATTCACTAATTCAAAAAACAAAAACTTCATAACTACCAAATAAATTAGGTCGACCTGTATGGTAGTAATCAGTTCGGGTGGATGGGGTGAAAACACCTCAATCTGTGAATTGGATTAATGTTGGTCCAAGATATGAAGCATATATGTTGAGTGGAATCTTTGAAATATTAACTCCACCAACTAATAAACCGTCAGAGAATGTAGTTACAAAACTTCTTCCCTGGATTTGTAATATCTTATCGCATCGAATAAAATTTATATGGCTGACAGTGTCCATAATGATAATGAAAACACAACTAAATTATCAACCTCAACGAAATCACATCACTTAACTCATATACTTAGTGACTAAATTTATAAAATGAATAAGAATTTAAGAAAAAATTGAACTAACTTCTTCTTGATCCGGTATGTTATTCAGTGTGTAATGACGTTTGGATAGTATTTTAAGGATTACAGTTAGTACACACCTGTAAAATAGAACAAATAAACGTGATTCATATCTTGATACACTTTCCATTGACTGCAGAATCACTTACCTGATGTTCTATCCATTCTGCTAACACTATCATATCCCGTTAATAGTTTAGTTGTATGTATCATAGCTTAAAGTGTTTAATAATTTGGATTTCATTAAAGAATGAACAATTCGAACAGGAGTTGACTAAACTGAATTGCTTATATTAATGGATGTTATTTTACCAACAAAAAAACGTAAAAAGATGATTGAATGCTAGAAATGAATTTTCCTGAATCGCAACCCCATACAACCTGGAAAACATTCTCGAAATAACAGGTGGTGAAATGACTAGTATTACTAACACCATAAAACTTTTCATCCGTTCATGTCAAAACAAACCATGTCAATGTATTTTCCATCTACATGGTAAACAGTCAGTTGTTCATAATGAAATTTTCAAACATGTAACTTAACGGTTTTTAGTTCAGTAACTGTACACGTTGTTTGATGTAAATTGTGAATGAGGCTGAAATATGTTCATAATCACAAAAATATAATTAATTAATTAAATATAAACAAGTACGTTTAACTGTATTATTGCTAAACGAAGATGTGGCAGACATCAAAAGAATGAATAGCAATTGTGAACAATTGGAAAGGATGCCCAAGATAAAAGTTGGATGGAGAATCCTGGTGAGTGTCCTATGCTCTTCAACGAGGGATAACAAGCGATGGTAAGCAAGTAATTGCTGAATTGAAATCATACATAAACTACTTGAACAATGCGGAAGTGAAAGAATTGGTTTGCTCGGGTTTATATATATCATATCCAAACTATGCTTGCTTGTAAAAGCAGACGAACTCCGAAATATATATCAAAGTTATTCTAGCTAATATATTTGTATTGTAGAACCAATACTACCTACCAAGATATATGAAATAGAGTGACAGATAAACAGTATTTGGATGATGGAAATTCGAGAATATGGCAAACCTTGTTCGCTATATTACTGACAGAATGCAGTCACTACTTAGGTTTCCTTCCGTTCCAAATAGATCATGATCTATTCTAATCATAAATACTTATTATACACCCTATGGATTCAAAATGTGTCACCGAAATCCTAATGCCTATATGCCTTTCAGATTGAGTATCAGTTCTTCGTTGACATTAGAAAATATATTATGAATTCCACGATTAAATTCACTAAGCAAAACGTCACTTTCCACTCTTCTATTTTTAACTTTATTAGGTACTTTTAGTTTACTGTGTACAGAAACAGACATTTGAGTTAGCCATGCTGTGTTTATCTATACTTCTGTCAGCGTAATAACTCCATACATGTATGAAAGTGAGAACAGAAGGAACTCAAGATTCGATTATTGCAAATCAATAACTTTTATTGGTAATGCAATGGATATAAAGTTAATTACTTCCTTATTACGATTCTAATATAACGAATAAGATTTATTGCCAAATTCTCATTAGACCCAATGGAATCATTATTCTAAATGTGATATTATCTACGAAGGTAAACTGGACAGTCCAAATATGAAACAAATGTTGATGGAAGGAATAATTTTAAGTGTTTTTGTGCAAACTAATTGTATTACTTACTCATTATTACGCCCAAAGTGTGCGGTTTGGTGATACTTGCAAATGTCATTGAGATCATCAGATGAAGCGCTAAATAAGATGGAGTAGTACAAACTAGTCTTAATTTTATTGACTATCTATATTACGTGTAATTAAATTTAGATTTTTATTCCACAAACAGTTAGACCCCTCTTAGTGCATTTTCAGTAACTAGAAATCGAATGTGATTTTGTAAAAAATGTGAGGCAGTCAACCTCTAGTCTGTTTCGTCTAATGGGGAGATAGGAGTCTGTCTTAAAAATGGATATTTATCACTCAAATGAAGGTAATGAAATTGCTGAGCATTATTTTAAACATTTCAGACAACATAGAAGATGTGGGGTGTGCCGACTCCATATATTTCTAAGGTATTAATGCTTATTGTTTAGTATGGAAAAAATGTGAAGTAGAACAGCCAGCGAATTTAACATTATGCTTAGAAAAATCAAAATGTCAACACTTGACGACATGACAATCTGATTATGTCTCCACTTCTTGACTGACATGAACGAAAATCTTTCTTTTCTAATTCTAGAGACGGTATATTACATTAACCTAACCAATCAGATGTTAGTAGACGTTCAGATAGATCAAATGCTGTTACGTGGCCACATGGTAAGAAAAAGATATAATTATGCGTTTACTGTAGTTGATGTTTGAGGTATGTGTCTGGTACAAATTACCACTGTAATATTAAATGATGACTATATGCATCTTGTCTGATAATATCGATTTAGTTTCGTCACACATCTTCGCAAGCATCTCAATTATGTTAGGGGTGAATGGAAATACTAACTTTAAAAGAACCAATCTTATTTTATGTCACAATGCAATATAGTGGGCATATAAAGAATTTATTGACCGTGCCTCGTTCAGTCAAATGAGACGAGATGCTGCGATACATTGTGTGACATCGAAGTAAAACTTATACTAAATCGGTGATCACAGAAACATAAGTATAGTAAAACATAAGTGAAACACAGAATAGAAATATTTAGTCACCAACACTTTTACACTACGTAAACATCATTTACTGAAATATGTTACCACTCTTCAATAAATAGCGATGTAAATTTCGATTCCGTTATTGAAATCGGAATGAGGTCAAACTTTTTATTTATTTAATAGACTGATGCATACAATTCATTCATCTAAATGTTTCTCTACAAAACACTTTGTCTTCACAAATATAAAATTCAAGCTCAATCGATTCGAAAATTGAAAAAATGTCCTCTAGAGAAAATGAAGAAGTTACCGATTGCCAGTTTAAATTTATTGCAAATTAGAAAGGCTTCAGTAGAACAAACTGGATTGTGAACCAACAACCGCCAAATAAAAATTTCAATTTTGCAAATTCTTATGGTTATTTCAGAATCTAAGAACAACCAACGTCTCCTATCTTCAACATCCGATTGCTAACAAATTTAACCAGGATAATTACTTTGGTAATCATCCTAAAACACTAACAACCATCATAGTTTAAATGTGATGTAGAGAATTATCAGATTAATGATACGTAGAAAAATAGTCAAGTAGGATTATTCAATATGTAATGTGAAATAATGGATGCTTTGGAAATCTCAGCCAATAATCACGAATGAAAAACTATTAATATACTACTTAGCAATTTGGAAGTACTCAAGTGAATACAAAGGCAATAACTGAATGAAAATTGTGGACATGCGATGCATAACGCAATAAGAAAGCATTCTGTAACTGAGGTAAGCAATGAAACTTACGCTTTAGCAGTTGGGCGGGTTGTGTTTCTCCCTCTGAAAACAATTGAAAATGTTAATGACATTTTGATTTGTCTTACATTAAAATGTCTAAATGAGTAAATCTGAAGTTTGCCATAATTATTTACTATTTCTGAGTTAATAAGGTAGACAAATCATCTTAAGTTAGGTTTAACTATACATTTTCTCTTGAGAAATAACGATGCATTAGCTATAGATTACTAATAGGAATTAGACTTTTCACGGTCCAGACGATGACTATCAAATTAATGAAGGCATTAAACACTTGCTTCTTGCTTGTTTGGGATTATTCAGAACCACACAGGAACAACTCTGGATAATATCTAACACAAATGTTTTAGATCTCTTGTTAAACAAGATACTTTTAGACTACTGAGTGTGAAGTTATGGTCTGCAAATTATTTCACTTCATTTTCGATATTTGGCTGAAGATCATCCAATTTCATTGGTAATATTTGCTTCACTCTTGATGTGACTGAAATCCATCTAGTACAGCTTCTCAGTAGAAAGTTGCGAAACCATATCTAATTTATTCTCTATGGGACAAATGATCTAAATCTGCAGTTACATTTATTTAGTTTTATGTTGTTATAACTTGTCAATTGAATGCTACATGTAATATTTCGTCGTTGTTGACTGTGTTTGTCGGAAACGCTTATCACTCATACTCGGAACGAGGGACCTCCGCAATCCCCACGACATAAAAGTAAGAACACAAGTACTGGTATAAGTGAAGATTTATTGACCCCGAAATACGACGACGACGACCCTAGTCAAAAATACATCTGTTTATCCATTGATTGTACACACAATTTGATTAATAATCAAGATGGAATCACACATAGGAAAAATAATTGGAGTTATAACAAATCATATAGTGAACATAGTTCATGTCCATTGAATACAAGAATATTGTATACTATAGAGGATAAAATATCATACGATAAAGTAAAACAAATAGTACATTGAGTCTTCATTACATTGAATCAAAACGGAAGTAATGTTGAATAAAACTCATAATTAGTAAATCAATCGAAAATTGACTTTACTTTCCAACATATCATATATGTATCATGAAATTGTTGGAACAGTATATAGAATCTCCATGGCAGGTGCCGACTAATCCACCTAACGAGACGCAAGTCCACAAGGAATTCCAACTCCTGAAGCGCCACAAATCCCAAGCTCAGATGATTTGCCTCCAGGTTTTTCAATATTGTGACGTCTCTATTGTTAGGGAATCAGCTGGGTTGTTTACAAACGTCTGGTAATTAGAGAGCATTCCAACATCGTGGGATGAGTCGATCGTTGTCCCTATATTTTATGTAGCTCACATCATTTATTCAACAAATAAAGGAGGATAAGTCTTCTTCCGATTGCGTCCAGACCATTGGCTTCTTTCACACTTCCAACATTGTTCAAAATACGAGAAAGATTGACTCGCGAGGAGCAGGCTGCTTTTCGTCCTGGCCAACAATAGACTTGTCTATTGACAACATATGTTCTGAGATCTATTTTCGACGGTAAAACCGTAAAAACAAAACGTGAACTTAACTAACAAGATTTATATCTTAAATGAACAAATAAGCCTTTAGGCGTGACTTTATCAAACAAGAATATGTCCATTTACTTATCTATTCAGCTGTATGATTATAAACCATAGAGGTGTTATCGGTTTGGATTTAGCTAAATTAAGTAGTGATTTATGAGGAACAGATAGTTTGGTGGTTTCATTTAAAAAATCCCATTGACTTCACTCTATGGTTCCACCATAGAATAAATAAATAACAAAATTTCCATGTAAATTTATATTTGTGTAAGGCATATTAAGATCACAGAAATGAAACCAATAAAACATGAGGTAAATAATAAAAGAAAAGAAAATCTCATTCTTACAATTTCTATCTGCACAGAATATTCAGTTTTCTTCTGAAATATCTTACTTCATAGTTTATTCTGTGTGATATCTTATATGGATATATTTATAGTTTTATTTGGTGGAATCTGTTTTGTTTAATTCTGTTAATACGTCATAAAACTAGACAATGCTTTTTCATGCTGTTACTCGATGTCATGTATAGAGCCATTTGAACTGAATGATTTGATTGGATTCACAACACTGTTGCATAACTGTCAAGGTTTAATCTCATCTTGATAAAAATTTTGGCGGTTCTGCATGATAAAATTTCTCAATGTATAATGTAAGTGACACAAAATAAATACACATAATACCAGATTTTTGAAGAAAAATTGACCGAAAACGCTTCAAGAATAATGTAATCTAAAGTCGTGGATAGAGAGAAAAGAATGTTTTCTATTATAACATGAATCCTCAATAACACAATGTGTCAGTTCATACGAATATTCGTTAACATTAGAGCGAATATTTTTACGAGGATTGATCACCGAGTATGCAGAAAACATCATACGTGGAAATTTTTGATTATCAAATAAAACTGTGTTTTAATATAATGGAAATTTTTCATCGATTATCAATATCTTGATCAGAAGTTTAAATATTAAAATAAAAATCCACTACACGAATGTTCGGGTTTCCTCTCTTGCATTGACATAAGAAGAAGGTTGATAATGAACATTTTATACTGGTTGCGTCAATAGTACCATCCTTTTATACTTTTAGTGCATTAGTATTAAATATCCGTGGAACAAATTTCAGACAATTCAAATATGTGAAAATCGCTACGCCAAGAAACTTTAAGACCGAAGATCAATTTTTATGTCGACCAGAATGAGTTGTGTGAGGATTGTGTTGATTTTAGTAGGTGTATTATTGAGTCGATATAAGCTGGACCACCATTGAAAACCTGCAAGCGCGACACGCCCATGAAGTGCTTTCACGTTTTCAACGGTGGTTTACGTTACATCAGATCAAATATCCAACTATTCAATTCCAATATTAGGGCGCATAACATTCATCAAATGATTTCGAATAAAGCAGAAAGATTTCACGAAATTATCAACAATTAATCAGTAACTTCAAGTTGGTAGTTGATCATTATTTACAGTCAGTTCACTCGTTCACTAAAGACACAAATAACAAGTCACTTGTATCAAGAATATTATCGCCAAAATATTGAACGTGCACCTTTTTAGTTCGCTAGGAAATTTATAATCTAAGGATGGACAATGTATGTATTGATTAGATTGACAGAAAGTATTATATCTACCTGTGAAAGTAAGGCCTTTTTACTTACAAACAGCTTATTTGTATTGTCTGTAGCCGAAGATTTATTGAATCAACGGTTTATATAATCAACAATTCAATTGATCTAC